TCACATGGTTAGCCTGTTATTAAAATCAGCGTCACCAACTCTATACATCATGTATATTGTTGCAGTTGATTGAAAACTTTGCATTTATTTGCAGAAAGCACAGGAGAATATCCTTAAACTTGACATGAATTTTAAAAATTATCAAAATCACCCAAACATACCTATTCTGCTTAAAATTTACATGTATTGATTAAACACTTGGCAGTTTGTGGGGGAAAAAGGCAGATATAGCAAGGCAAGTCATGCTCTGGTTGTTTGTTTATGACTGCCTGTGTTTCTTTAGGATCAGTTTTGCTTGCATTAACACAATTAATTTTCCTTAGCACAATGAGTGAACTGTTTAAATATGACACAGTTACTGAGATTAATGTTTTGTTCCACAACATAATGCCTGCACAGTTATTTACAGCAAGTCATAATAACTAGGAACTTGTATACTATTAATTGATTTTACAATTTTCTTTCACAAGACAATTACTATGACTGTTATAATCGAACTGGATTTTGTTTCTTTCTCTTGATTCAATAATTAACATAACCGCATAAATTCACATCCAGTCTCTCAAAGTGTTCATGGCGCTATGATATAAAAGTGACATCACATTGATGACATCATCATGTAATGATGATGCCATTTCAAGCTGTGCAATAAAGCATTATTTTACAAAAGAAGAGTACTCTGACATTGTGTCCTCTGCTACAACGCTTATTATTCATGATGCAAATATATTTTAAATATTGTATGTAATTTCAGAAGTATATAAAAAGAGACAGATCAGATAAAGAGATGGCTTCAAGTAGTGACCATGAGCTGGCTAGTGACTTTGTTGAAGCAGAATTGACAGGAAATGCAGGTATGAAACTACTAAATCAATGAGATGTATATTATTCTTTTTTTATATTTCTTTTCACCCTGTAGTTGAGAACAAGGTATATATTTGCACTTGCCATTTCTTTTGGGAAGTTGGCCATACAATGTATAGATTTTCATTTATCTGTCAGCTAACTACACTTTGCCATGTTCTCAAGAATACCTATTTTCATAACTGTTGCATAACACAATGGAAAGAAAGTCACATTCTCAAGAATACCCATTTCCATAACTGTTGCATAACACAATGGACAGAAAGTCACATATTCTTAAGAATACCCATTTCCATAACTGTAGCATAACACAAGTAATGGGATATTATACAGTAAAACCTGTCTTCAGAGACCATTGCTATGAGAGATTGCCTGTCTTGAGAGACTAGGTTCTTTATGTACAGATTTATTGATTATATAGTGTTATGACTTGTCATGATAGACCACCTGTCTTTTGAGACCATTATCTTTTTGGCAGAAGGTGTGGTCTTTCAAGACAGGTTCCACCGTACTTTGAAGGGTAGTTCAAATACTTTTTTTCTTTATGATGTATCACTATCTTTACATTGTCAAAATAATAGACTTGAAGTAAATGTCTGTTTAATTCCTTGTAATAATAATTATCATTCTCAATGAACCTATTTCATTTGCTCATGATTGTCTCATAACCATGTATACATATTGTCATCACTAATAGGAACTACAATGATGATTAGAAATCATACCAGTGTTCATTTCAGAACACAGCAACAGACCAGTGACCATAGTTTTTCAATTTTGGCATAAAATATTTTCAGTTGAGCACTCAGCAATCACATGTACATGATGGAAATTAAAATGTGTTGTATTTCTGACCTACTAAATCAAACACAACCCATGTCAATAAGAAAGTATAAAATGTGGTCCATACTAACTAACTACATTGCCTGAAAGTAACGTAATACAGACTTTGATTGACATCAGCTTTCGTTCATAAGCACATGGTTTTTAATGATGGTATGCAAACATTTACTCTAATGTGCATATTGCAAATGCAAACAACTTCACCTTACAGCTGTCACTGTTAGAAATATGTAATATGTGTGGAGTGCCACCTTAAGGACTAACTCGTACAAAGTCTTTCAGTGAATGGACCATTCATTCAGGAAGAATATTAATAACAAGATTTTTAAGATTTGATTTCTGACAGGTGCCATTTTCATTAACAACCAGATATTATTAATATGGGTTTATTGAAAACCAGTGTTTATATGACCATCATTTCTGTTGGATTAGTGATAACAAAATTTTGAAGAAAGTTGCCATGGGTGGTCATATTGGGTGTCAGAGTGTAACCTTTTTCATTTAGAACCAGCTAGACAAAATAAGTGGCCATTCAATGAAAATCCAATATAAATTTAACCATTCAAAATGGCAATTATTGTAATTTAGGACTACCTAGACATCATAACAGGTCCTTTTGTCAAAACTCCACATTGATACATGACCATCCATATTGAAGTAGTAGTAGAAATTTCCAAATTCCATTGTGACCATATTGGGGGACTGTTTTTGCTTCGGTACACCTAGACTTTATGAAAGTTTGGTTGCAATCATTTTAGTGGTTTAGGAGGAGTAGTGGTGGCAATACAAAAAAAAAAACTGCTGTCAGACAAAACACCAATACATTAGCTCATCTGATTTATAACCAATACAGATAACAAGAAATATAACAAAGGAATTTAACTATCTCACAAACTGCAGCCATTACTAAAAGAAAACATGGGCATTATTTTGAATTGCATTTGAAATGAACACAAGTTACATAACAATTTTTTTGAATATTTTATATTTAATTTTAAAGTATATATTTGTCAATTTGTTGCTAAGATCAATATTTATAACATATGGATATTGCCTCCTTTTTCATAAAAGAGAGAAAACAGTTTATTTGATTCTCTTAATTGAATACAATGTTGGAGGATAATAACTCAAAAAGACATATAGTGTGCTGTAAGAGTGAAAGGATGTAATATAACCAAGTTTCTCTATGTACTTTATTACATTTTATTGCATATTATTACATTTTATTTACCTTCAGTATCTGGTGTCAACAGGAGCATGTTTTCCCTAAAATGGAGATTTTCAGGAAGGGCACACAGCAATAAGGAGATACCCTGGTTGCTGGATGTTGTCTTAAACCCTGATCATGACCTGATTGTCACTGATGGTAAGAATAATGAGCTGAAGAAATTTTCACTTCAGGGTACACTGAAAGATAAATTGACTTTTAAAACTAGACCAGACTGCCTTGCACTTACTGATGGATATCTTGTTACAGTAACATTTCCATTTGAAACTATATTGCATGTGGTGGACACAAAGGGTAAGTTGTCTGTTGTTTCCACCATACCATTCAGATTACAATGTGCTGGCATTACCTCCATGAAAGATGGCAGATTGGTTATCTGTAACAGGGAATCAAGATCAGTATTTCTCTGCTCAAAAGGTGGACAGATTCTTCAAGAAATTAAAAATGGCAGCTCAGGAGAAACACTTTTCAGAAATCCTTCCTATGTCAGAGCTGTTGACAACAGAACCATATGTGTAAGTGACTTCAAAACCCAAGAGTTTTTTATAATTGTCATCACAGATGACAACAAATTTATAATTAAACAATGCAAGCTAACTGAACCTCGTACTTCCTGTGTTGTTGATGGGATGTTATTAGTAGCTGCTTCAAATATTAGAGTATTTACATTGGATGGAAAAAAGGCAGGAGAGATAACCCTGGATGGAGTGCATCATGCACGTGGCCTTACCTTCAGTGAAGATGAGCGATTGCTTGCAGTGACGCACAAAAGTGATGCAGATGAAGAGATCTCTGTGTATCAAATATTGAAACATTAATTGAACATGAAATGTGAGTTGGAAGAAAGAGACAATTTAGAAAGATCTAGCCAGTTCATGTATAGTTCATAAATGGGAATCATGTTTTTCAGAATGCATCCTTTCTTCTGCTATCAATGTATGGGTATATTAAGTAAGGATGGAATTTCAGGAATTTTATTGAAAATGAACTCAATCTATATACCGTAACAAAGAAAACTTGAGTGGCTGAAGTGACTGGCTGTCATGGTGCAGAACTAAAGTAATGACTCATATTGGAGTTGGATGCATACTCATAATTGTCATGTGCCTTATTACTGTTATGTGCTGTGCTTCATTTGTTTATCTTAACAGAATAATGTTTACTGCTGGTCCTGGGGTGTTAAACAATTCAGCATATCCTTTCCATTCCCAAGTACATGCTTTTTACCTTTTTATTCTCATTGTCTTTAAAATCTGTTCAATTGTATATGTCATCTTGTCTGAATAAGATGTCTTAACTGAATAATCTAAAATATAGTTGTCTGATTGTTTTGAATGTCTCCTCATTCAGGTTTAGAGGATGGCCTTTTGCAGATGATGTTATTTATTTCAAACATTGTAACTGTTCCACAAACGTAGAATTTATTGATCAAACAAATATTGGTCCATACTTTAAATCTATTTCCTTTCTTGCTTCAGCTGGAATCCTCTTTATTAATATGTAATGTTATGTATCCACTAACTTTGGCAAAAACATTTACCCATTTGTTTTTAATTCTGAGTGAAATACTTCCGCTTCCTAGTCTTTAGAGTTGTTACAAACCTTTTCCTATAAGTATGCTTTCCTTGTCCGAGTAACTTCAAAAGAATGCAGTATTTTCCGTTGCTTATTTTGCCTGTTGTATCTTGTACTTTTGCAGCAGTTCCCTCTTTAAAATATTTATCTGTTGGATCTAGTAGGCTAACTTTCTATTTAAATGTCCCTGTTTCAGCCCATTCATTGTTAAAAAAAATCTATCACTAAAAACATGTATTTGTGCCCATCGTTGCATTTTCATATTTGTATGCCTGCCACTGGTGATCCACGTCCCTGCTATTGAACATTCCGTATTGATATATATTTTTTAAATTTCCTTATATAATGTGTAGTTAGGTTGCTTATTTGATCCTTCTTAAATATATGGTATTTTATTTTGATTTTATTCGATCTAATTTGTTGCCATAATTGAGATACGTGTCAGCAAGTGGATCGTAGCAAAGATGTTTTAAATACTCTTCACTGCTCCGTTGGCCTAGTGGTTAGAGCGTCCGCCTCGGGTGCAGGAGGTTGAGGGTTCAAACCCTGGCCGTCATACCAAAGACTTATAAAAATGGTACTTACAGCTGCCTCGCCTGTCGCTCAACATTAAGGGGTTAGTATTATAACTGGTCGGTGTGATGTCAGGCTGTGACTAGGATGGGGCATGATACTACATATATGAGGCATGATGCCCCTGTTCTAGGTATCACTATAAGCTGTCACATTGCAAACATCGTTACACACTGCAGACATCGACAGACTGAAAATTTGTTAAAGCTAATTTATAAATCCAAATCACATACACGCACGTACTTAAATACTCTTCATTGTCCGCCATTGTATATTGTATAAAAAGACGGAATATGTTACGCGTTACAAATTTTCTTTAGATATGATTAACGAAGCTAAAGGAGATCCATCTTAAAGAAGAGCTATTATTTTCAGCTGTATGTAATGTTATGTCAATCCCTACAAACAAATTAATGCTTTCTGATTTATGTTTAAATTTGCATTCACGTCGTTCATTGAAAAATAAAATACTTCATGCACTGAATCACCGTCTGCAGTTTTATATAAACTTTTCTTTCCATAAATTCAATCTTGATCTTTGTGGAATAATTGTCGACTGATTTTGTACAGTTTACATGATCTTTAAATTGTGATGTAACTTTAACAGAGTAATTTTTTTTTACAAAAAAAATATTTATCAAAACGCAATGTGTTCCTTCTTTATACCGTACTCTTTTAACAATCTTGCTGTCATGACTAATGATGCTTGTTTTGATATTATCATTCAAATTAATCTGTGAAACTTCTTTACCTTTTCTAAAATATTATCTGTTTGATGTTTCAAATTGACAAATAAATATTTTTATTAGCTTGAACGTCATTTTGTGACACAGATAGTTTTCCCAACCAAACGTGTAAACATGTACATATTATCCCTTAATGCTATGATTGTTGTTTTTATGTTCATTTGATGAAAACAAGTTACCTTTGTTGGAAGTAATTTTAACTAAGCACAATTCATTTTATTAAAAAGATGTGTTTTTGCAAATCGTAAGATTGCCAATATTGGAGATTTCTGTGATCAACTGTTCCTTTTTGGAGGTGTGTAGTTTTGCACGCTGCGAATAATCAGCCTCTCTTTCTTCTCTGTTTAACACACATGCGCACACGCTTTAGTCTTGTGGTTTCATCAACGACAAACCATTTTCCCTCCAAAAGAAAGAAAGAACAAAAACAATGAATAGACGGACGTGAATGGGATGGTATATTTGTTTTAAAAAGGAAGGAATGGGCATTATATATTAAATTTATACTTATTTAAAAGAGTGATTATATTATGATTATGGCTTTTATTTGTGTTTAGAAGAGGATTTATGCGGTATGTAGCTCGTTGAGTAAAATCCCTTCTATAGTAGACTAGTTAAGATACAGAAGGTAGTTTTGTTTTTAAAAGATCGGGGTGTAGGGTAAATATAAAGGGAGGTAAATAACGATCCTTAGATAATTGGTTAGAGTGATGTCATAATGTGTTCTTGTGGTTTTTTGTGCATTTGTTTTATTTATATGGGATAGTTAACTGCTTCGCGGAATAGTAGATTACAGTTTGGTTAATAAAAGATAACTAGTCAGTGCATAGTATATAATAGTTTCTTGGATAGTAGATAATTTGTTGTTCGGTAGTATATAATTGGGTGTTGATATTAGTTAATTGATTGGTGGTAGTAGATAACTTGATGCTGGATATTAAATAACTGGTTAATGGATAGTAGATAATAGGGCTTTGATAGTATATAATTAGTTGATGGATAGTAGATAACTGGTGTGGATAGTAGATAATTGCTTGCTGAATAGTTGACCATTAAGTCTTGATAGTAAATAATTGGGTGTTGGACGGCAGATAACAGTGTGTTGGATAATAGATACATTAGTTTTGATAATAGTCAAATATTTGATGTAAAGCCTAATATTTTGTGAGACCTAAATCAATATTTCGGTAAGAAGGAAATTAGGTGAATATAAATTTTAGTCTAAGGAGACTTTTAAAAGGTAAAGGCTGATTAATTTCTATGTATGTGATATTTTGGTGAATGTGATCTTGAAATTACACAGGGACAAAATACCCCAAAAGGATAGTCTGATAGTCTTTGTATATCTTTATTTCTCTATTTAAAGTTCAAATCTCTCTCTCTCTCTCTCTCTCTCTCTCTCTCTCTCTCTCTCTCTCTCTCTCTCTCTCTCTCTCTCTCTCTCTCTCTCTCTCTCTCTCTCTCTCTCTCTCTCTCGGTTACATTACCTTGACGTACTTTAAAATGTTCATTGGGATTTTGTCAGATTGGAACAAAATCACTCTGTATTTAGAGACAAACAGAAAAAGCTCATAAAATACATTCCTAGACTAACCTTGTGTGGAGCCAAAACCGAAATTCTAAAACGCGACCCTTTGGAAATCTTAAATTTCTCTTACTTTCTCCATAATAGCCTAAAAATCTGTCCTATGACACGTGTGATTTATCCAGCTATTATTCTTACGTATCTAAATAATATATTGAACACGTAAACATGTCTCTTGGTTTTATATTTGATAAATGAAAGTTTAGTCGCGCAGTACACTGACAGAAAATAATTTTGATTGCTGACACTCAAATTTTCCCGAGTCAAGACTCTATGGTCTCAAAGAAAAGACGAAATTCCATGAAGTCTTGTAAAATTTAACAAACAATTTCCCTCATACTAAAACGTGAAAATATATTTTTTAAAAAATATATATCACGGTACTGCGAATTACATTCCAAATAATCATGGAATTTCTATCACATGTCCTAATCATTAATGTTCTGAATAAACTTTAGTTCTATTCCAAAATAAATCCAATGCTGGAAGTGTTGGTGTGCCTGGGATGGGTTGAATAGTAATGATATGCTAACAGTCTTTTGTTGAATCATAATAATAACATCCAAAAATATATCCTTGTTTGAATTTCACTATTTTCTCTTTCCAAGAATATTATTTTGGATTAGTACTTAGTGTTTCAGTGAATACATAATTTGAATAAATAAAGTCCAGCCCAAATTATATACTGGACTAAAAATTAATACTAATGTCTGCTTCAGATGTTATTATAGGAGTAAATAATTTTCTAATAAACGAAATTTCATACTCGTCAACATAACCTGAGGCACAAATAGCATTTTCTAAAAGAAAACATAATTGGAAAATTAATTTTGATAGGTTCCAAATGTTTGCAAGGTAAAAATTTTAGTTTTAATTAGAATGTATGTTCCTAAATTATAATAAAGAACATGGTAAATACACTGTTCTTGACTATGACCAAGATAATAATCTTAATATTCATCCTTCAGTCACCAAAATGTAAACAATGTTGTTTACATAGCTGTAATTAATTTTGGACAAGATCAGTTACACAAATTTTACGTAGTCCACATAATATCAAACAATTTTTACTTTTTTTTTTTATAAAAAAAAAGCTATAAAAAGAACGTAACTAGCAAACAATGCAAATTAAATATACATAACACCCGTTCTATAAAACTTCAACCCATTACGTTTCTCTCCAAAGGAGAAGTCAGTATGTTTCAAAACAGGCATACTTTTCGTGTAAAATATATATCGTCATACGGCCATTCCAGTTGGCGTTCAGAAATGCTTACATTTCCCTGCCTGAATAGAATTAACATGTAGCAAATAGACCGAAATGAGTTAGATTGAGAGTGAATATGCTATTTTTCGCAAACATACTGTCAGATACATAGCAAATTTTTTATTGCTTACCTTCAATACTTACCCGTCCTTTCACCTACAACTGGGAGGCCCGGTGGCCGAGTGATCTACTTAAGGGTCCATCTTTACCGATCACTGCCATTTGACCATGGGGATCGGACAATGCGGGTATTTGAAAAAACTCGCGGGTCTGTGGTTCTCACCGGGCTTTTTCCTGGTTCGTTATCCACAAGGTATGGTAGTATATAGGTTCTTGTGCATAACATATCTCGTGCTGAGTAATGGTTATAATCTGCTAAACAGATAACATAGATAAGTTGTTTTGTGAACATTATGATAATCTAGTTTGTTTAGCATTGATATCACAATGATACTGTACTTACTGATTGAAAATCTTGTCTAACTTGAAAAGGTTGTCAAATTTTTAGTGATGTTTGTATTTTTCTCTTATATGTATGAAAATGGCTCTAACAGTCTAACAGGCTCTAATCCTCCATCTTCATTTTAAGTGCGCGGGGCTTTATTAAACATATTCATTTGGAAACCAATTGCTGATTTGCTCTCTCTCTCTCTCTCTCTCTCTCTCTCTCTCTCTCTCTCTCTCTCTCTCTCTCTCTCTCTCTCTCTCTCTCTCTCAGACACACACAAAATGACGGACAGACAAATCACCGATATTGAAATATATCACCGTTGGGTAATTCTGTTCGAGAACAGATTGTCAACTCGTGCGACACTGTTACAATAAAGCTTTGAACCAAGATGGCGCATTATGAAATCTTTCGTTTGACTCAATATCATTGACTCATTTTAGCATGGAATCCCATTTTGATCTCAAGTGTCACCCTTTACTATATATATATATATATATATATATATATATATATAGATATATATATATATATATATATATATATATATATATATATAAAGGTAGACATGACCATCTGTGGGCTGCACAAAAGTATAGTTAGATACTGACACGTAAAATAAAACGGGTTTAAACATGTACCTGTTCGTTTAAAAAGGCCTATGATGACGGTTAACACCACAGAAATAAGCTAACATCTCTTATATTTTAAAATGTGTAAAGTTAAAGTGCATTAGATGTGTGTATACAAATTTGGTTTACTTAACCCCCTTTTCGATGGCAATAAAACAAAAAAATTACTACAATTCTACACAAAATAGGATAAGAACATGGCCTGATCAGGTCGTGTCTGTGTGTTTTTTTTTCTTCAGAAAATGTCAAAAGAAACATGACTTTCCTCAAAATGGCACCAAAGCAAAAGTCTCTGTGTCAATTTGCTCAA